GTCAGGCCACCGATCCGGAAAGCTTGGGGCACGCTGTTCTAGATTCCATCCTAGGAATGAAATTCCAGAATTGTACTGAGTAAGGAAGACGACATGGATGGACGTCTGTCAGCTTTTACCAGGAAATTATTAAATCAATCAGCAAAATGTAACGAAAGTCCCTGGGGTTTTATTAGCGTGAAACCAGCTGTAAAATGACCTCAATCTCTCTGCGCATAATAAAAGGGATAAATCAAAGCAGATGCCAAGTTTTTGCATCTTTTCCATAGCCCAACAGTGGGATAACTGTTGGAATCGGTGAGAAAGAAGAGGCAAACTAATTCATAAATTAGGAAGAGCCGTCAAGGGCATTGACAAAAGTTAACCAAGATTATTAATTGCTCAATTTTGGAAAACAAAATGTTTACCTACTATAGAAGATTGGGTATTTAAAGTCTCAAACTTAGCAGAAATGGCCAAGATTTCCGCTTATGTGAAGGATTATTCACAAGAAAGATATATATATATTGGTTTGGAGAAGATGGATTGATTATATTGAGTTTAAATATGGAACAAAAAAATATCATTTGGGTTTTGAACGAATTTCTGAGTATTATTTTTGTTTAAAAGTTATAATGTTATTTAGTTTTAGTTTTAATATTTAAAATTATGTTAATATTATGGTATTTTATAATTGTATATTTGTTTTAAAAGAGAGTTAAAGGAAGCTATAGATTTGTTAGATTAATAGTTGATTAATGTTAGTTAGATTATGATTATTTTATTGTTAATCCTGTGATTGGCTCTGGGAAGGGAGGGGGGGGAGGGATGGAGGGTTGGGTTTGGGGGGGGGATTTATATTGTAAAATTTTATAAAATTTTCAATTAAAAAAAAAAAAGTCAACTAAAGGACTCCGTGTTGCTACCTAGAATCTAATCTAAACGATTGTCCCCCCAAAATTAAGGACATCTACTCATCTTCTCTATGAGAAGACCTCTAGGTTGGCTAAGCTTTGGTCAGGAAGAGCAAAGACGATCAAGAGACACCTACCCTGAAGCACTGAATATGGAAATAAAGACCGAGCGATTCAATAATCATGGCGGCACCTTTCCCAAGGGGGTGTCCACAGCTGGAGCAGAGCTTTTTCCCACTGATGGACCTGAAATGATAAAAACGGGGTCGAAGTCTTTCCAGATGACTGAGGACAATCCAGGAACCCATCTTCCTAAAGGCAAGATCAAGCTAGCTCTCTGAACAGAGTGGCTGAGCCTCCCACAAAGGGGTCTAAGGCAGGGGTAGGCAACCTTGGCTCTTTTATGACTGGTGGACTTCAACTCCCAGAATTCCTGAGCCAGCCATGCTGAGGGGAAAGGGAGAGGTTTCCAAGCTGAGCCATGTTGGCTGAGGAATTCTGGGAGTTGAAGTCCACGAGTCATAAAAGAGCCAAGGTTGCCTACCCCTGGTCTAGGACAACTTGCCACGGCCAACTTACCATGGCTAAACTGGCCGCAGGACAACCCACCCTGGCCAACTCGCCATGAGGTGACCCGTTGCGGGACAAGAGTTACACTAATTAAGTTATGCTAGTTAAGAAGAAACTACACAGTCACTTGTCCGAGATGGTATAGGTTCTCCTGCCTGAGCGGGGGGCTGGACTAGAAGACCTCCAAGGTCCCTTCCAGCTCTATTCTATTCTATTCTATTCTATTCTATTCTATTCTATTCTAATTTCTATTCTAATCTATTCTAATTTCTATTCTATTCTAATTTCTATTCTAATTTCAATTCTAATTTCTATTCTATTCTAATTTCTATTCTAATCTATTCTAATTTCTATTCTATTCTAATTTCTATTCTATTCTAATTTCTATTCTAATTTCTATTCTAATTTCTATTCTATTCTGTATTTCTATTCTATTCTATTCTGCATTTCTATTCTATTCAAATTTCTATTATATTCTATTCTAATTTCTATTCTAATTTCTATTCTATTCTATTCTATTCTAACTTCTATTCTATTCTAGCTTCTATTCTATTCTAATTTCTATTCTATTCTATTCTATTCTATTCTCTATTTCTATTCTGTATTTCTATACTATTCTATTCTGTATTTCTATTCTATTCTAATTTCTATTCTAATTTCTATTCTATTCTACTTTATTCTATTCTAACTTCTATTCTATTCTATTCTAATTTCTATTCTAATTTCTATTCTAAATTCTATTCTATTCTCTATTTCTATTCTTTTTTGTATTTCTATTCTATTCTATTCTATTCTATTCTATTCTATTCTATTCTATTCTATTCTATTCTATTCTATTCTATTCTAAATATCGAAGAAATGATGTAATAGCATCATTAAAGGAAAGAGGCCAAAAGAGGGACAAAATGAAACGGGAATGGCAAAAAACAAAATAACGTTTAAAAGAAATTGAATTCTTGAGTTGTCCCAAGGTCCGTTGGCCGTGTCGAGTGGTCCCATTCCACCCAGGAAGCCCCAAGGGGGGACATCTATTGAGGAAGGTACGAAAAGGGTGGAGTTTCAACGGCAGGGTTGCAGTTTCTTCTGAACTTTACTTCCGGCCACACGTGGGACTGTGGGAATGTTTGCTCTTTGGGAAAAATCAGATGATAAATGTGCCGTCCATCATGATAAACCATCTTCAGGATTAACTTCTGCTTTTTACACGTTAGGAGGGTAACAACGGCCACACTTTCCCGTCATTTGCAGGCTTTTGCATTTAAGGTTTTGCTCGTAAATAGAGTTCAACGGCTGGTTTAGTACTGCCCTTCTCAAGCCGTCTTCATCTTAATAATAATAATAATAAAGTTGGAAGGGACCTTGGAGGTCATCGAGTCCAACCCCCTGCCCAGGCAGGAAACCCTACACCATTTCAGACAAACGGCTGTCCAGTCTCTTCTTAAAAATTCCAGTGTTGGAGCATTCACCGCTTCTGGAGGCAGGTTGTTCCATTGGTTAATTGTTCTAACTGTCAGGAAGTTTCTCCTTAATTCTAAGTTGCTTCTCTCCTTGATCAGTTTCCACCCGTTGCTTCTCGTCCTGCCTTCAGGCGCTTTGGAGAATAGCTTGACTCCCTCTTCTTTGGGGCAGCCCCTGAGATATTGGAACACTGCTCTCATGTCCCCCCTCGTCCTTCTCTTTATTAAACTAGAGTTACCCAATTCCAGCAACCGTTCCTTATATGTTTTAGCCTCCAGTCCCCTAATCATCTTTGTTGCTCTTCTCTGTACTCTTTCTAGAGTCTCAGCATGTTTTTTACATCGTGGTGACCAAAACTGGATGCAGTATTCCAAGTGTGGCCTTACTAAGGCATTGTAAAGTGGTATTAATATTTCACGTGATCTTGATTCTATCTTCCAAGAGTAAACCCCGAGTATAAATGTTGCACATAAAATAAATACAGCTCTGTACAGCAAAGGTCCACAACTGCATGAATTAAACGTCGGGCTGAGTTTTTAAAGTCTTTAATTGGCTTGTGAAGGGTCTTGGTGGTCCTACCTGTTAGAGGGCTGGCTTTGAACGGTAGGAGAACGTGGTGATGATGGCCCAGTTCTGGAGCTGCCTTGGGAAGCTGCCCTGGAATATAAAGCAAGAAATAAATTCCAGCATAGCTTCATTCATTTACTTAATTGACTTAGAAAATGTATATAGTCTCCCCTCCAGTGACTCTAGGTGGCTTACAAACAATAAAAGCACAGTGTAAATCTTCTATATAAATAAAAAAATGTAAATGTTCGTTTGTTCAAAATCTTAAATCCCCGAACGTTCTTCACCGATTGCTTTGAAATTTTGACACAACGTTGCATTCGAATACGCGCGTGTTTTTATATACCTACTATTATATAGATGTCACACCTGTGACAGGTAAAAATATGCTTTTTTTTAAAAAACGGCGCCATCTGTTGGACGTAAAAGCAAACCAGACAATCTCTATATCTGCACAGACAATGGAACAACAAAAAATATTGTATACCCACAAGGTGACAGCACCCGGAAGCATTGTGAAATTAAACATATTACAAACGTGCGCTTTCTCTTTTCTTTCTTTTCCATTTAACCAGACTGAGCCACAGCAACGCGTGGCCGGGTGCAGCTAGTAAAATAATAAAAATAAAAATAAAAAACGATAACGCCCTCCCCCCCTGGCAACAATAGACAGCCAGCTAAGCCATTTGATGGGCTTCCATTCCATTCTAGGTTCCACATCTTCAGGGCCTTACGAAACAGCGTTGAAGTGGGGGACCAGTTTCATTGTTTGAAGGGATGATGTTCCAGAGGGAGGGAACCACCACAGAGAAGTCCCTGCTTCTGGGTCCTGCCAGATGGACCTCCTTAAGAGGGGGGGGACTCTTAACACCCTCTGACTCCCTGCTCTAGTGGGTCAGGTGGAGGTAACTGGGGAATGATGGCCCTTCAGAATAACAGGGAGGGAGCCACCACGGAGAAGACCCTTCTTCTCCAGATGGACCTCCTTAGCAGGTGGGACCCCCAACATTCCTGGCCTCCCCGCTCTAGTGGGTCAGGTGGACATGAGCGGCGAGAGGCGGTCCCTCGGATAACCTGGTCCCAAGCCATGAAGGGCTTTCAAGGTGACACCCAGCACCTTGAATTGCACCTGGAAGCAAATTGGCAAGCCAGGCAGCTCCCCGCAGGAGAGGTGACACATGGGCACACGGAGCATTGCACAAAAACCATGCGGGCGGTTGCATTTTGCGCCGGCTTCAAAGCTTTCAAAGCAAAACTCCTCACTGAGGCCCAAGAACCAATAGCAAGGTAAGTCTCCTGCTCTGAGTAGCTTCTAGGAAAGTCCTTTTTTGATTACAAACATCGGGATATCTAACGACGAGACGGGAACAGAGAGTTACAGAAAACCCGATATCTGCCCGATGTCAGTTCTGCTATAAATTAAAGGTTTGTAAGCTGTCAAGCATCAAATCAAAAGGCTCAAAATGCACTTGCCTCTTATCTTCTTTTGGGGAACTGACCGGCAGGCCTAAATTACACCCCAGCGGTGAATCCTTCTGTCTGATGTCTGATGGGCAAGGACTCCGCTCTGCTGCTGGTGGCTGGGTCCACTGCGCATCTGAAAGGGAGGGTTTTAAGTTAGGGAGTGAGAGGCCGAGAACTGCAAGTCTGAACTCTACACAGTGGAGGAGGAGGAGGAGGAGGAGGAGGATAGGAGGGAAAAATAGGGGTGAGGAGAAGGAGAGAAAGGAAGGAAGGAAGGAAGGAAGGAAGGAAGGAAGGAAGGAAGGAAGGAAGGAAGGAAGAAAGAAAGAAAGAAAGAAAGAAAGAAAGAAAGAAGAGGGTGAAAGGGAAAGAAGAAGGAAGAGGAGGAGGAGAGGGAAAGAAGAAGAATGGGAGAGAGAGAGACAGAGAAACAGAGAGAAAGAAAGAAAGAAAGAAAGAAAGAAAGAAAAGAAAGAAAGAAAGAGGAGGAGGTACAAGATTAGGAGGAGGAAGAGGATGGAAGGGAAAGACAGAGGAAGGAGGAGAAGGAGAAAAAAGAGAAGGATTTTTAAGAAGAGACTGGACAGCCATTTGTCTGAAATGGTATAGGGTTAGGGTTAGGTCACCATGAACTCGGAAGGCAAAATGGACATCGCCAACAAATTCGGGGTGCTTGGGCATGGTTAGGAGGGCACTGAATTTTCCAGCCTGCCCTCTCTATGTTTCCTGGTAAAATGCATGGGAAAATCCCATGGGAGGAAAATTCCACTTAGGGTTTCCTGCCTGAGCAGGAGGTTGGACTAGATGACCTTCAAGGTCCCTTCCAAAATTATTATTATTATTATTATTATTATTATTATTATTATTATTATTATTATTATTATTATTATTATTATTATTATTATTATTATTATTATTATTATTATTATGAAAGAAGAAAAGAAGGATGGGGGGAAAGAAAGAGGAAAAGGAGAAGGATGAAAGGGAAAGAAGGAGGATGGGAGAGAAAAAGAAAGAAAGAAAGAAAGAAAGAAAGAAAGAAAGAAAGAAAGGAAGGAAAGAAGGAAGAAAGAAAGAAAGGAAGAAAGAAAGGAAGGAAGAAAGGAAGGAAGGAAGGAAGAGAAAGGAAGGAGGGAAGGAAGAAGAAAGAAAGAAAGAAAGAAAGAAAGGAAGGAAGGAAGGAAGGAAGGAAGGAAGGAAGGAAGAAAGGAAGGAAGAAAGGAAGGAAGAGAGAGAGAGAGAGGAAGGAGGGAAGGAAGAAGAAAGAAAGGAAGGAAGGAAGGAAGGAAGGAAGGAAGGAAGAAAGAAAAGGAAGGAAGGAAGGAAGGAAGGAGGAGCAGGAGGATGGGCAGGATAAGGGAAAGAAGGAAGAAGAGGAGGAGGAGACCTTTTCAAATTGACCAGAATTGAACTATTTTGTCTTTGAAGGGAAGAAAGAGACCTATCGCTAAGACCGAGCTGAGAATATTTGCTAAGAACCGGGCCGCAAGGACGGCAAGACGAAACACAAAAGAGGAAGTGAATTTTTTTTTTTTAAAAAAAAAAGCATGCTAGCATATTTCAGATACTCTACTTAATTTACTGCTGACATTTCTAGAAGTAGGTTCAACTTGGTACGTTATTAGACCACACCAGTGAGGAGAAAGCACGATAAGTAACGAAAAAGCCGAAAATGTGATATTTGCAAAGTTTTTTTCCCCAAAAGCAAAGGCATAAAGGCACCGCCCACCTGGACATAACGGCAAAGACATTTTGTTGGGCGATCTGCCTTCCGGGCTAGGAACCGGATCGGCTTGTCTCCATTTCAGGCCTTCTAGATATTCTTCCTTATTCACCGTGCTGAAAAACGGAAAACATATTGTACAAATGTTTTAAATTTAATGAGCAAAAATCTCCCTTCTCTCTCAACTTCTCCCTTTGACCATCTCTCATCTGGTGGTTATTCTTCGCTAACACGTTTTCCTCAGATGTGCTCTTTAGGAAATCTCTTTTTGCTTTTACGCACCTCACAATCTCCTCCCGCAGTTGATATTCCTTGTATTTGGAGAAGGACGCCCCATCTCGTTCACCGAATAACGTCTCCAGTTTTGCCTCTTCGCTTGGCTTATTATCCTCTTCCGAGTAGCTTAGATCGATCAAATTCTACCGAAACAAATATATCGTATTATATACTGTATGTTGCTGCTTTAAGAATTAGATGTAATTTTATGAGTTGACTCATTATAAGATATAATAGTATGCATTATATTATAAGACTAGCTGTACCCGGCCACGTGTTGCTGTGGCTCAGGCTGGTTCAATGGAAAAGAAAGAAAAAAGAGAAAGCGCACATTTCTAATATGTTTAATTTCACAATGCTTGTGGGTATACAGGACATCCAGGAAGGGAAGTTGGTTATTAAAGTCCTAGTCTACAAGAAATCCAATGGCTCCCTAGGGCACACCATCTACCAGAAGAAAACACACACAAACCGCTATCTGCACGCACTCTCACACCACCACCCAGCACAGATCAACTCCGTAGCCAAGACACTCATCTCCAGAACAAAATGCTTAGCTGACGAACAACACCTAAAAACCGAACTACACACTCTCACTAACGTACTAACATCCAACGGATTCCAAAGAAATAAGATTA